TCACATGAGTCATTTATTTATTTAAGGAAATTTCCGGAAAAGTACAGCCTGACAGGAAAAAAAAAGATAAATTGTGGTTGTACAATGAAACAAACCCAACTCTTGATATGTTATGGTAATTAAAATAAACTAAATGTTTATTTAGTTAAAAAAGTTCCCCTCCACAGGGAGGGGAACGGAAGAAAAGAAAGACCCATGTGATATTGTTTAGTATTAGTGTAAATTATTTTAATCATTAAGCTTATCATTGAAACTGGATCATCTGGAAATCAACTTTTTCATCTCATTTTTAAAACAGTGATTTTTTTTTTCATAAAAGGTTCCCAGAAATTGATTAGTTTGAAAGGTTCAACCGCCACAGCAAGAAGAGAAATAAGAAAGTGGAATAGGGTAAGGGGTATTTTTCTGCAAGGTTTGAACAATAGTTAATATCATAGCCAGTTTAATCTAGTGGTTAAGGCACCAGGCTAGAAGCCAAGAGACTGTGAATTCTAGCCCTGTCTCAGGCCTAAAAAGTAGCTGGGTGACTTTGGGATAACCACTCTCTCTCAGCCTAACCTACCTCACAAGGTTGTTGTTCTGGGGAAAATAGGAGAAGGAAGTAATATTGTGTGTATTCACTGCCTTGAGTTATTTGTAAAAAAATTAAAGGCAAGAAGTAAATAAATATAATCTATGCTGTAGAAGAAATCAATCTTTCTGCTCTCTTTGAAATCAATATCAGATAACCAAGTCAGTCAATTCTTATTGTAATTATAAGCCTTGTTTGAACCCAAACTGAGGGTTTATTTTCAAGGAAACCAAGGGATTACTTGGACTCATTTCAAAAATAATATTTTACCTTATCCCATCTAATGGCTGTCACCAGAATTACACTTCTTATCATAGCAAGTTTCCTGGTATAAGACTCAGAAAACTGCAGCAGTGTCCAAAGTTTTTTTAAAGATTTTGGAAAGCTCAGAAATAGCATATTAATTTGAATGTTTCCTTGCATCCTACATCAATGTGTTTTATTTACTTCATTACGAAGTATTTGGAGAAATCTTGGAAAAAATAATCAAGCAATGGGTTGGCAAGCTCTTAGAAAGGAACATGATGGTGCTAAAAGCCAGCAAGATTTTTAAAAATAGATCATGGCAGACAAATATTTTTATCTACTTAGTTTTTGAAAAAGCAAAGGAATGGTATAGATATTGTACACTTAGACTTCAGCAGGGCTTACAATAATGTTGACCACAACTTCCTTCTTGATAAAATAGAATGATTTGGGAAGGATGGGTCCATTATCAGATGAATTCATAATTGGTTGAACAATCATACCCAATAAACAAATCTATATCTACACGAAGGAAGGTATGTGGTGGGGTTACCAGGGTTCTGTCTTGGATACAAGGCTCTTCAATGTTTTTATACATGACCTAGACAAGAGTATAGAAGGGGTGTTTGTCAAATTTGCAAATGACACAATATTGCAGGGGATGAGAATTGCTAACATTTCAAAATATTGTTCCAGTTTTCAAAATCCTATGTTATGGAAGGGAAAGAGTGCAAAGAACAGCTACAAAGAGGGCGAGAGGCCTGGAGGCTATGTAGAATGATGAAAAGAATTGGATATTGTTTGGCATAAAGAAAGAAAAATTAAGGGGATACTTGATAGCAGTTTTTCAATACACGAAGGACTGTGACAGGGAAGAGGATGTGGATTTATTTACCATAGTGCTCAAGGATTGATCAAGAAACAATGCATGGAAGATAAACCAAGGGAAATTCAAACCTAAAATAAGGAAGAATTTTGTAACTGTGAAGTCTGTTAAGTGGTGGAACCACCTGCCTCCTGGATTTGTGGGTTTTCCAACACTGGAAGTTTTCAAGCAAAGGCTGGGCAGCAATTTGTCTAAGATGTCTGAGTATTCCTGCTCTGGGCAGAGACTTGGACTTCCTTCCAATCTTAGGATTCTTGTTCTGTCACAAGTATAATGGTTCAGTAAATAAAAATATTTTTTGGAAATCTATTTTAACTATGGATTAATTTGATTGCCTCAGATGAAAAATATTGATCTGGTTATTTTGAACACTAAACTGTACTTTGTATAGGGATTCCTCTATTGAAATGCATGTGGCCCCAGGCCTGCTGGTTTTTAGGAAGGCAACTGCCTTTTTAATTCATTTTTCTTAACTCCTTGGAAGTCGCCCAGAATTATTGGCAAGCGGGCAGGCTCAGAAATTAATTACATAAGCAAATAAGCGAACGTGTGACATTGCCTCCCTTTAATAGGGTCCTGACTGTGGAGTACTTTCCTGCTATCATGTGGAAAAAAGCTTTTGCTGTTTTTCTTAATAAATATTTTTCCAGGAAGAAAACATTAATAGGGATATGGTGACATCCCTGGAAGGGGTGGAGACAGTTTTCCCACCTGAGGGTGTTCAGTAGGTTTGCTAAGTGGGTCTGGAGACATATCATACCTGTTACAGTTCTCATTTTGAAAGAAATCAGCCCATTTTCTCTTGGTGATTTCCTACTGAAATTCAGCAGCAGGAAGAAACGTGACAGGCCCTGGGGGTTGCAGAAAAAATGATAGTAAGACCACATGAGGCCTGGTGACAGTCGATTGCTCAACTTGGACTAAAAGGTTAAAGGCAAGCTACAAACATTTTCAGTATTTATTAAGGAATATATCTATATTCTAAATTGCCATATTCCTGCTTTTGATAGTCTGTTCCCTGGGTTCAGATATGCTTAACCTGGCTAACCGATTAGGACATTTTGCACAATTCGTAGAGTAATTTATTTAACAGTAGCCAAGATTTATATGTTTGTGTTGTGGCAATGAAAGCAACTAGAACTTTAACTGACCTTGTTAAGTGTCCATTGGGTTAACAACTCTCATGACTTGCAACCATAATGGACAGGAGGCATTACAGTCATAGGTGGAGAATTACCTGTATAGTTAGCCCAGAAGAAATTGATTAACTTTATGCAAAATGGTACTTATTTGCATAAAAGGTTTGAACTAGAGTTTCCCTATTTCAAATTCTGGGGTATTTCTTTCCCATTTATTTGGGCAAGGCATATACATTACATTGTGCTAATAAACTGCCTCTGCATTTCATTACAAAGCTGAAGGGGGAAACCCAGTGGCTACAAAATATAATTGGAAATGTAGAGCAGTTAGAAGCTGTAGGTTTTGTACGACCTCTAGTGGACAGTCTTAAAAGTCACATGGAGGAAATCCCCATTTTCCTGACAAGGCAGGGGTTTCCCTGATTGCAAATGGGAAGTTCCAGGCCAGCAGATTTAAAGGCAGCATTGGGAAATATAATATTCTGGACCATTCTTACTTTACCTGATGTCCTCCATAGGTCTTAGTTCCCAACTGATTATTTATCTGATTAGATTAAAAGGCCACTCGACTACAATATACACTTTAAAAAGAAGGGAAAACAATGTAAAGCAGAAGAGACTACACACACGTCTGGCAAAACAGATGGGCAAAGCTACCAACTAAGCTCCACAAGGCCTAGGAAAACAGCCTAGTTTTAAAGACTTCAGGAACACCATCAAGATGACAGCCACATAGATTTTGGGGGTGGCAGGGATACTATTTCAGAGCACAGAATTCATGACTGCTTCTGGATAAATGGTATTGTTTGACAGGACCTGAAACACATTAACAGAGTTTCATATACTGTGCCTAGCTCCAAGAACATTAAAATAAATGACGAATTTTGTAACCATTTTTTTCAGAAACTAATTCAGAATCTCCTTTATGTATTCCGTCCTTCCTTCAGAGAAGCAGAGAACTATGCAGGACTGTCCTTTCTTTTATTGTATCATCACAATGACCTGGTTGTAGATGTGGCTAAATGATCATATCTGACCCAAAACCATGTAACATAATTCTATTAATTAGAATTCAAGTCTCTGTAGCCCATAATGTCCAAGAAATGTTGACAGCCTAATCCATACTGAGGGCACTCTTGGGCCACAATATGAAACACACACACAGATCTTCAAGAATGCTAGTTCTCAGCTTTCCTTGGACCACAAAACTCAAAAATTCACTTCACATGTGGTATTAAATGTACAACATAAAATGACTTGTTTTGGCAAAGATACGTTTTGTAGACTCAGTCCCATAGATGTAATAAACCATTGTCAATAACAAGCATAGACAATTGTATTTTAATTGGGGACCACATTTTTTTCTTCTGTAGTCCTCGCTTAGCAACTACAATTGAGACTGGCAACATGATTGCTAAGTGGGAAATCACTTAGTGACGGATAGTGACTGAAGCATATGAGCTTACTTCCCTTTTAGTTGTTAAATGATATAGTCACTAAGTAAAGTCATGTGAACGTGACTTATGATTTTATTTTCACCTTTCATACTGTACAATATTAACTGCTTATCACAAGCGAAAATTGCCCAATGGTTGCATGAATAGCAACCATATGACTGCAGGATACTGCAACTGTTATTAAATGTGAGGATTGGTCACAAAAGGGTTTTTTTTTAAAGCATTGTTATAACTTTGAATAGTTGCTGCATGAGGCATTCAATAAGAGTGGAAACCTGTGATTGTTTTTTGCCTTATAGGGTTGCAAAGGGCATGGAGGACAAAACTGAAGGGTTAAGGCATGCTTCATGAGTTCGTATTATCTTAAATTTATAAAAAAAAACAAATTACTCACATAGTTAAAATCCTAATTTTGCTGCCACTAGAATGTTTCAGTGACTCACTCTTGCCTTAGCGCCCAGCATGTGACACAGAATCAGCTATGGTGGGGTACTTGTGGGCACACACATGCACAGATCCTTTATAAGTGATAAATGACCTCGGTCAAAAGTGAGAAATGAACTTAGTCAAGTATTCTTAAGAATTCTGCTTCCTTTCCCTTCAGACAGGATCCTGGGTTATTTTTCCCCCACCACCATCCCCTCCCCCCAACTACAAGGGAACATTTCTCACACAGGGGTATCAGGAAACCAGTGAGATGCTTCATTTTCATGACCAGTTTATTTCTTCTGGGTATTTGCCCCATACACCAGGTACTACATATGGCAACCCCCACTTATTTTCACTGTAAAACTCTTCCCTCCCTAAGGAGAAACCATTCTCGGTTGTCTTGCCACCGTTGTTAAGTGAATCACTGCAGTTAAGTTAATGATGCAGGGCACAGCTGTTTGCTGTTCACAAACAGGAGGGAGTGCAGTCTTTGGAAGAAAGTTTTTTTCTTCTTCTTTACTTCCCCCTCTTCCCACTCAGAAGGAAGGTGGCGACTGACCTCCCCTCCCCACTCCCCCAAATCTGAAGCCGTGGAAGAAAGACGATGACTGTTTGGGAAGGAGGAGAAAACAAAAGTGCTTAGTAGCTCACTTGACTCAATTCTTTTGGCAGGATCCCAGTCCAGCCATTGTAAGGCTTACGCTGAATCCAAAGACTCGCTATGGGGAAGCATGCCTGCTGGTGCTGCTGGGAGAGGTCTGCCTCTCCCCCAGTCCATTCAAAAGGTCTATTCGTGGACGTCCCAGATCTCAGACAGAAGTGGAGGAAGCTTCTTATCTTGAAGGCGCAAAGCAAAGACCTGCTCTGAGTGCACACTGCTCAATGTCCGCAGGCTCACCAGCTTCATCAGCATGCGGGGGAACATCAGGTGGTCCTGTGGAAGGAAAGGGAGGCCAAAAGAGACCTGGTGAAAGGTGTGACGCCTTTAGTCAGAACTGTATCGTTTGCGATTCCAGGGCTGTAGGTGATCCAGAGCGCTCAAAAAATTGCCTTTAAATGTTAAGTGTTTAAGAGGAATACAAACTGATTAAATACACCGCAAGCAATCATATAAACTAAAACTTCATTTTTACATACAGGTAGTCCTTCAATTACGATAGCAGTTGGTACTGGGATTGCTGTCACTAAGCGATGCGGTTGTAAAGCACAATGTTACACGACCGCACTGCTCAGGGCAATCCAAGCAGTCCCAGTTGCTGTTGTAACTTGGGAGATGTACGGGACATTAAGAAGGAAGCATCAGCAGTCCCAGGTAAAGAATTAGGAATGTCACAGGGGGACGGGGAGGCCCAGTGTAGGTTGGACATGAGTTGGGAAGGGAGGTCCTGCGGAGCAGCATGAACAGAGGAAAGGGAAGAAGGGCCATAGTGTGTGTGAGCGAAGGGAGGAAGGAGGGTGCAGTGCACGTGAGCCAAGGGGAGGAGGATGACGACGACACAGTGTGTGTGCAGGTGAAGGAGAATGCAGTGAGAGAGAAGAAAAGCTGGGGGAAGACTTGCCCAAGCAACTAGTGATCTTTTCTGCTGGGTTCCCCATTGATTTTACTTGGGAAAAGCCAGCAGGGAAGGTCACAAATGGCACCCTATGACATCAGGACCCTGCAACCATCCTAAATGCAACTTGGTTGCCAATCACCCAAATTTTCTTTACATGACCGCAGGGGGCATTACAACACCCAGAACTTCAAGGAACGATTTTCAATTCCTTTGATTTTAAATCCCTTCATTCAGCGCCATCATTCAGTGCCATCGTAACTTTGAAAGGCTGCTGAACAAATTAACTGTAGGTGAGATGGGTGGCCAAGAAGTCTAATAAATAAATATATAAAAATGAACATTAAATGAAGACTGACTCACAACCATTTATTTAGTGACCATTCAAAGTTACAATAGCACTGAAAAAAGTCACTTATGACCATTTTTCATTCTTAAAGACTACTACAGCAACCCCATGGTCAGGTGATCAAAATTTGGATGCTTGGCCACTGACATATGACGGCTGCAGTGTCCCAGGGTCAGGAGATTACCTTTTGCAACCTTCTGACAAGTAAAATCAATGGGAAAATTAGATTTGCTTAACTATCATACTAACTTAACAGTTGCAATCCTTCATTTAACAACTGTGACAGGAAAGGGTGGTAAATTGGTCATAAGTTGAGGACTACCTATACCTGTAAATTGAAAGCATTTTTTACTTAATCCTGCCCATCTATCTGAAAATAGTATGTATGTTTGACTACGGGCTATGAAAGATACATGATTTACTAAGATACAACTTGAAGTAAAAAAGGAAACAGAAGAACTAAGGAAAAGGGAAGGAAGGAGCCATTAGCCTACTCAGGCTCTTAACACACAGTATCTAGTGAAAGCAGGACAGAATTGCACAATCCAAAAAATGTTTCAGGAAGGACACTTGTCTCTACACCCTACCATTCCCAGTCTAGCCATAGGAAACTGTTATTAGGACTGGAGGCAATACTTCTAAAGATTTCTATCTTTGTGGTTGCAGGGTGATGACATCCCTGGATAAAGCAAGAAAGCCTTTTTTCCATTTGATAAGAGTGGGGGTTGAAGAACTTTTCAATTTCAGAGCTAAAATAAATCTATTGGAGACTTACCACACTTATTTTTTATTTTAAATTGGAAGAAAACCATGCCAAAAATTCAGACACTTTGCCATTGATTTTTGGCACTGCCATATTGGGAAATTCTTGGCAAAAAAGAACTTCAAGGCTGAAAAGGGACCTTCTTCCACCTCTAAACCCAGCACGTTCAATACATTTTGTGTTGTTATGCTGATTTAAGTAGTAGTGGGCCTAGTCTAGTGTACTATGCCATTCCAGCCAATTTTGAAGGAATATGCTTAGAACTGTAGTGGTTACTTAACACTCTTAATATTAAAGGCTAATCTGAAGCAAACTTCCTTGGGATTCAGAAAATTTATCCTTATGGTTTTGTATCTTCAGTTCAGGGATTGTTTCACTCTGCATTTCTTACCCGAACAGAAAACTATCCCTCTCTCCCTTGCAAACAAAAAATTAGCACTTGCTCTGCCAAATCAATTAAAAGGAAAAGGAAAATGTTTATACAATACAGCCTTCTAGACACAATGAACTCCTATCATTCGTGCTCAGCATAAAAATAGTTAGTGGAGATGAGAGGTGTAGTTCAGTGGATGGAACAGGCTACTAATTTCCCAATCCTGTCCTAAGATTTACCAGGGACACCCAAAGTTATATTGGCTTAAGCCAGCCGTAGTCTTTGAATCGAATAAGGTAAAGGTAAAGGTTCCCTAGCACATATCTGCTAATCATTCCCGACTCTAGGGGGTGGTGCTCATCTCTGTTTCAAAGCCGAAGAGCCAACGTTGTCCGAAGACGTCTCCATGGTTATGTGGTCATGTGTCTCTATTTTTCTACTTGCATTTTTTACGTGCTTTCGAACTGCTAGGTTGGCAGAAGCACTAGGGATTCGAACCATTGAACTGCCGACCTTTCGATCGACAAGCTCAACGTCTTAGCCACTAAGCCAGCACATCCCTTTGAATCTAATAAAATATGCTAAATCATGAGTTTGGCCTTGGGCCTTAGACCAGGAGGAATGTTATTTTTTATATCTTTTTCTCCACCCAATGATGATAATGTATCCCCTTTGCTCTATGGTTTTCTCCCTTAGCATTCATTGCTGCTTTTTTCCCCAATCCAGATACCTGTGGGCGATTGAGGTGGATGTAAGAACTGAGGGCCTCAATGTAGGGCTGCTGCAATGCCTCTACCAGGCCATGGTCCTGCACATTCGGCCTGTCAGCAGAGAAGATGTTGATCGCAATGAGGAGGGCATATTCGGCATCATCCAGCTGCAACTGTCGCATGGCCCGGGAAAACTCAAATATGGGATTGATGAATTCGACCTGAAGACCTTGTTTTGGGGGTGAGGGGATTGGAAAGGGAGAGAAACGAAACATTAGTGAATGATAGATGTCATCTAACTTTCCATGCTCAGACCTCCAAGTGCATTTCTTGTTTGTTTTAGATTTCTATCCTACCTCACTTTAGCTATTTTGCACTGCTCAAGCTTATGAGTGATTCAAAGTATAAATGCATAAGATAAATTAATAGTTTGGGCTGTAGATAGACCTGAAGGTTGAAAAGACTCCCCAGAAGATGTCAGTAGCAAACCATCCTGTAGATGTATCCATAAAATGAAGAGCTAATTCATTATAAAGGTAACTATATTTTAAAAACAGAAAACAACATTGTACATTCATTAGACAGTGGTATAACCTGAGCATGGTTAGTGGCACAAAATAATCTGAAAACCTGGCAGGCAAAATGCCTATCAGAATTTTTTTTAAAAGCCAGGCAGAAGCAAGTGAAATATATTGACACAGATTTCCTAAAGAAATTCAATAATCAAGCTACAAAATATGTTTTCTCCTTAACTAACCTGTCTTGACTAGCGGTAAGGTACAATTCTTCAGCTGAATTCAGGATGCTGATAGGTTAGTAATAAATAATCTAGATTGGAGGAATTTATATACCAGCATTTTGAACTAGGTTTAAAATACTAACATACAGTACAACTAAGGTGATAAATGCTTATTAGAAAGTAACTCTGGCTATAGGCAAAAAGAAAATCTGTGAAGAACAAACACTTTTAAGCTCCTCCAATACAAGTTTCCCCAAGCTTTCTTCCAATATAGAAAAAAAACCCCATTATATAAAGTGACATGTAAACAACTGTTCCTTAACAGAGGAAGGAAGATGGAAACTAAACTAGAGAGCCTGAACCAACACACCCTTTTCACTGCACAATAAAGATCCCAGAATCAAGACCAAACATGTAGAAGGTACAAAGGACAATCCGAGTTGTTTCCAGATATTTAAGTCTCACCTCATGGGTTCACCTCTGCAACAGAATGATTAGAAACAAATGCAAACTCTCATTAAATGTGAAAGCTCAGTAATCTTTACGACACCCTTTTCATTTGAGATGTGAAACAAGGAATCGGGAGAAATCGCCCAGAAATACATCACTGGTTCACCCAGATTTATCCCTTGGGAAATATATCAATATCCTCAAATATATTTTTGAAAAATAAAATCTATCTCCACCTGGGTAAGAACTTTAAACAAAACACATTTTGGGAAAATACAAATTACGTATTTCTAGACAAAACAGTAATTCTGCTTACATTGAGATCTATTCAAAATATATAGATTTGATTGCAAAACTTGGGCTAGCAAGAAGCTTCTCTGGGATGGAGAATGAACCAACGTTCACATATGATGCATTCTCAATTTCTCCATTTTGTATCCAATGGGAATCATAATGTGCCAAGAATCCAAATGCCAGAAAAGTAACTGCTAAGATTTTGAATCTTTTTGGAGTTACTTCTACCATTTCATATACACTTTCTATTTTTTCCCCCTCTCTCTGTCTACAGATTTCTTCCCTGCACCATCCCATCATGATTCACTTTTCGCTCACCTGCACGGTGAAAGTCATCCTTGCTGTATGTAAAATCTTTAAGAAATGTAATGCACTGAGTCTCATGATTATAGCGCCGGGCTGTCTCTAGTAACATGATCTAAAAAGACAAGCAAGTGTCAAAGAACAGCTATTGCCCTTCTTTAAAAAACTATCTATCATTCGTGGTATATGTTCAGGTAGGTAACTTTATATACCACACACTTATTAATTCTCTGGAAAGCTAAACTCTCCTTCCTTTTCTCTGCTAAAAAAAATATATATATCCTTTCCCATTCTGAGGCCCAAAAAAGCAGAAGCAACACACAATGCAGTACACATTGCAATACAGTAAAAGCAGTGTAACAGCAAGTATCATAAATAAATACCCACTCTATATTCATAGAAAACGTTTTAAAGTACAGCCTAATTCTCTCAGACAACAGCCTTTGTACCTGGACTATAAAACCTCAGAGCCACATTTTAAAATTTTATTTGAAAAACTCAGAATAGGGGAATTATTGCTATTTTGCTTTAGGGTCAGGAGGTAATGATCTTTGTGAGCATGTCTGTGTAATTTGTTTTGGTGCATCATATATTGTTAATAATAGGATTGTTTACAGTAAAGGAACTCATTTGCCCAGCTGATCTAATATTGTGTCTATCAATGTCACTCAACCTTACCATCTTGAAGATCTGTGGACTTCAACTCCTAAAATGGCTGACTGGAGAATTCTGGGAGTTGCACAGATCTTCAAGCTGCCAAGGTTGAAAACGCTGGTCTGTATCCATGGCAGCAGATTGCAAAAATCCCTTTGGCGGAAAATCTTTTTCATCATTTGCTTACTGGTCCTCTTTTATTGGAAATATTATGGATTAATCTTGCTTGTGCAAAACATGTACTAGGCCAGATTTCATTGAGTTATCACTACAGTGTGTAGGATCTTTGGCTACACAGACATTTCCAGGACAACAGCCCTATAGCCAACATAAGATTTTTAGCTCTTACAGCTATGGAGGCAAAAGAAAGGTCCTTGCTCACCTCAATGGTAGAAGCCTTCAGCAGTGCGATTTGGTCTTCCCGTGAGAGCTGCAGGAAGCCGGGTACTTGCTTGGCAAAGTCCACAATCTCTTGCACTGAGATGATGGCTAATTCTGTAAAATGGGCAAAGCGCTGCTGGCGTGCCTCCCGGCTGTTGGGGTCGCTGCTCACTGGCCAGGGCTGGGAAATAATGGGAAAAATAAGAGATAAGGGAAGAAATAAAAAGGGAATGAGATTTGCTAAGTACACTTTATAGCTTATCCAGAATAACAGAGTTGGAAGGGACCTTGGAGGTCTTCTAGTCCGAGAAAAGCCTGTACCAGTGTTTCTCAACCTTGGAAGCTTGAAGATGGGTGGACTTCAACTCCCAGAATCCCCCAGCCAGCAGTGCTGGCTGGGGGATTCTGGGAGTTGAAGTCTACCCATCCTCAAGCTTCCAAGGTTGAGAATCACTGCCCTATACCATTTCAGACAAATGGTTGTCCAATCTCTTTTTATAACCATGGAAATCAGAGTCCAACTTACCCGGAAACCATTAGGATAGGAAAGCTGTTCTAGGAAGCCATTCAGACTATTGCCTGCCTTTGTCATAGGCCCTAGCCTTAGAACTAATCAGGACTTTAAACCAATTTAGGTCTCTCTCACACACACACTTACTTACACACACATGCTTACCGTGACTTTGGGCTGATCGCTAAAGCTCCTCTTGTTGCACTGCTGTTGGGCCGCCACCAACTGCTGGATCATACCCTCCTGCTGTGGGGTAAGAGGAACTGGCTCAGGCTGAGATAAAGCAGGATCACAGAGCAATGGAGGTACTCGAAGTACTTCGCCTCCATCTCTCTCCCCAGCTGGAACCCCATCACCCTCATGCTTAGAGATCTTCTTCTTGCGGATTTGCTCTTCTGAAAGGACACCTGGAGACAGAGAGGAAATCTGGCATGAAATGAAAAGATCTCAAAAGTTCAACAGAGAATTCCAGATGCACTTAGCATTTTGAAGAACCATCTTTCTCAATTGTGGGATGCACTGCCCAAGTTTATTTTCTGCCTCATTATTGTTTTCCCTCATAGTACAATCCAATCCAGCCTATTGACTCAAAACTTTGCACTTTCAGCATTTTCTTTTTCTTTTTGATGTTTGTAACTTAAGGGTTTCTTGCTTGCCAAGAGCCTTGGTGGCGCAGCAGACTAAAGTGCTGCTAAGTAGCACCAGCTGCCTGCAATTACTGCAAGTTCAAATCTCACCAGGCTCAAGGTTGACTCAGCCTTCCATCCTTTCGAGGTAGGTAAAATGAGGACCCGGATTGTGGGGGCAATAAGCTGACTTTGTCTAAAAAAGAACACCGCTTAGGGCGGGCCGAAAGCCCTACTAAGCAGGTATATACAAAAGTATGAAGGCTATTGTTTAACGCATTGTAAGCCACCCTGAGTCTCCGGAGAAGGGCGGCAAATAAATCGAACTAATAAATAAATAAGGCCTATCAAATATGGGCAGTACTTCGACTCCCTTCTCACTATTAGCTATTTTGGCTTAGTCTTCAGCGCCATCTGGTGGGCCACAGATTCATCATTACTGCAGCAATGTTTCTCAATTGGAACAACTTTAAGATACGTAGATTTTAATTCTCAGAGTTCCCTAGCTAGGTTAGTTAGTGAATTTTGGAAGTTGAAGTCCACACATCTTAAAGTTGCTCAGGTTGAGAAATGCTGTCCTAGAGTGTTTGATCTTTAAAAGGTCAATGAAGCAATGATAAAAGGTCAATGACTGTAGAAATGAAATTGTGTACACTGTTATTTATATGTATATATGTAAATAAATTAATATTAGAATTATATGTATAAAGAATACATTGAAATAAGGGAGAAAAAATAAGTAAGAAATGTTTTACCAATGCGAAATTGTTGGAAAGAAAAAATCGTTAAAGATTCTTTTTTGTTTTTAAAAAATGTTTAATAAAAATATTAAAAAAAAAAAAAAAGGTCAATGAAGCATTTAGAATTCCGGGAGCAAATTTTGCATAGGCAAAACATCTCTTGCCTGCCTTCTCTTCCAACCTTTTTATTCCATTAGGATGATCCCTGCTAGTCTGCTGCGTCTCTGTTTTTTTTCCCAGGCAAATCAATCCCTTCCAAGCTGAAACCACCCACTATTTATTTTTTCAAGAATTGTCCCTAGGACCACAGGGGCCCAGCACCACTCTTGGAAATCATGATGATGGAGGCAATGGGTTTGCTCTGCACCAGGACAGTTCCCATTCCTAGCTAGGCCCTGATAAGTAACCTCAAGATCCCATGACTCACATTCTTCCCGCATGCCTGCTTGTCGGCATTTTTTCAACCGGCATTCCTGGCACTTCCGGCGCATGTACATGTCCATGTGGCACTGCCCACTGCCCTTGCAGGTATACTGAGCTCCTTTGATGAGGCTGCGCCGGAAGAAGCCCTTACAACCCTCACAACTCAGGACATTATAGTGAAAACCCGAGGCCTTGTCCCCGCACACGCTGCAGACTTCGTCCCCCAACATCTTGGGGGCAGGTCCCTTTTTGCGTTTGCGGGCTGGCTCCTCAGCTGCAGTGGAAGAGAGAGAAAACCAAAGATAATTACAGTTAAGAGAAATAGGGGACTCCCCTCCACTTCTTAATTGCCAAGCGTTAATGTCAATGTTTTTAAAGTGTTCACATGCCTGGCTATTGCAGAGAGTGCATTTGGTTTATTCTTATCCCCTCTATCATCTTCAGTGGCCAATTATTTGCAGCATTTAAAAAAAATAAGCAACCAGGAGTCATAATGGAACATATAAGACTGATAGGGAAGGGACTGCATTTTATTAATGTTAGGGTTAAGCAGTGTTTTCCAAACTTGGCAACTTTAAGATGTGTGGACTTCAACTCCCAGAATTCCCTAGTCAGCATAGTTCCTATTATATCCGATTAAGCAGGCAAACTTAACCACTCTAACTCCTCTTTTTCAAGAGGTAGCTAGCTAGCTACAAAGTCAGACTGTTCATGAAAACAGGAGCTTTTGCCCTGGATCCATTTATTTAGTTGTTTGGTACCAAACTAGACAATCTTTGAAAACACTTGTTCAGTTCTCCTAGGCTTTTATACCATGTTGAAAGAGCTTTCATGGTATTTAGTGGTTTGTGGCTTCTATATTCCTTTGAAAATATGTGGTTATTATCTGTTTCTTTCAGTTCCCGAAAGTCTTGAGTGCAATCTTTGTAGCAACTCCATATGTTGCCATATATGAATCATAATTTTTAATGAGGCAATAATGGGCAAGTTAGAAGTTATAGTAACTGAACTAATTAAATATCCAATTTAATTAAGTATCAATCGAATTTCATTTTTTACCAAACCAATTATTTTTGAGAATGATGCCTCAACATGAAAAGAGTTTGTCCTTTGTGCCACCCAAACCAATATAGTTGCTTAGTCAATTCCACTGGATGGAGGAACAATCAGTCAGGACAAACTGCATAAGTACATTATCCCTAAAATAAAATAAAATTCACCGGAATCTGGTTTATAATTTTATACAAACTAGTCATTTTCTTCAAATTTCCAAATTTAATTCCAGTTTTCAGCAAAACTGGGCCCATGGTGAACCATTGCTTTGCTTAATAACTACGGCAGTCACTTAAGGATTGCTGCAAAAAAAGTTGTAAAATTAGGTCAGTCATGTGGGCGACCTGATTTATAACCATCACAAGTTAAAACTGTGATGGGCACGCATATTACAGTCTTAATTCGGGACTGCCCATAATAGTAATTTCCTCAATAATATTCCCCTTTCTAATACACTTCAGACTGCTGAATCGGTTATTTTGCTCACCAGTGCTGTGTGTAGAACTTTCGCCATCATCTGTGCAAATTACTTCAATTTTCACTGTGTTCTGAGACTCTGTCTTTGCCACTGACCATTCATTTTTGATCTGTGAAGTGGGCTCCCCACAGTCTGTTTCTTTGAAGGAGAAGGAGATGGAAGAAGGAAATAGAAGAAGGTGGAGGTGGAGGCAGAAGAGGAGGAGGAGAAGGAGGAGAAGAGGAGGAGGAAGAAGAAGAGGAGGAGAAGGAAGAAGAAGAAGAAGGGGAAAGGGAAGAAAGGGAAGGGGAAGGGGGGAAGAAGAAGAAGAAGAAGAAGATGATGATGATGATGATGATGATGATGATTATTATTATTATTATTATTATTATTATTAAATTCTGAAAAGCTTATCCTATTTGTTCAGCAATGGGCCAACTGGTGGATTTTATTAAGCTTACCTTGTGATAACTGAGGTTCATCGGTGCCTGTTTTGGCCATCTCAGGGCATGAGCCACAGCAGCATTATATAGCTAGCTTTGGAATCAGACAACAAAACAGTCCCTTGAAGTTCAGCTTCTTCAGTCCTCTTTCATTTCCTTGGGAAAGACAAAAGTCCTACCATTCTCCCTCTTGACCTGGGAGAAGTACTTTACCTCAAAAGTTGTGTTCTCCTGCCTGATAGGAAAAAAGTCCATATGCACCCAAGTGTGCTCTCAAATAACCAATTCTGCAAACAACACAGGGGAAACTATTGTCACATGGATCAAAAATAGCTACTTTCTGAAACAGAATTAAAAAGATAAGCCAGATTTACTGAGGACAGATCATCAAGCTCTTATCTATGATGGCTCCATGGAATATCCATATTTGGAGAAGCACATCAGTGGATGCTAGATGCTGGGAGCAATAACATAAATAAGTTATTCTTCATACTCTGCTTGTGATAAGGCCCTTTTAGAAACATATTACTAGATTGCCTTTGCCTTGATTTAACACAAGTCTTCTACCCCAATGATGAGGAAATTGTGTACTTTCAACAGTATTTCAAAGACCGCAGCAAGTAAGCAAATCACAAGCAAGGAATGTTTGCTTTTCCCACTGAATAGAAACAAACGATATACAGATGGGGGAGGTGGAGTGGGATGGTGAATATCAAACAGAAAAAGGGGGGAGAGAGAATACTTCCACCTAAATACTTTCACCTACGAGACTGTCTTTTGCCACCAATAGCCTCCCACCGATCAGTTCGTTCTCACAGGGAGGGACTACTCAGGGTACCGTCAGTCAAATTATGTCGACTGGCGACTCCCAGGGGGAGGGCCTTCTCTGTGGGGGCTCCAACCCTTTGGAATGAACTGCCCCCGGAGATACGGAATATCCCTGATCTCCGTGCTTTCTGCCGTGCCCTCAAGACCCTGATGTTCCAACAGGCAGGGCTAAACATACAAAAATGCGAATGATTTTTTAAATGTTATCTAATTCTGGGTTTTATTTAATTGACCAAACTAAGTAACAATTTTAATTAGCAATTTTATGATGTTTGTGTGTCTATATTTTTCTTGACTGTACACCGCCTTGAGTCCTACGGGAGAAAGGCGGTATAGAAATATAATAAATAAATAAATAAAATAAATATAACTCTTACTAAGGTGAATAAGGTTCACAAGATATAACTATTAATAGACTTTCCCCCACGAATACACAAAAGTAAAAAAGTTCCCTTTCTTCATCTTATATCAACAGCTCCTTGCATCTTTTATTTTTGCATCTTTCTATGTCAAACCCCAACACTAACACCCCATTTCATCATTTATCCACAGGCAAAAGCTGTTTCTTCCCTTCTTGGACCTTCTTTTTCCAAAACTGTTACTCACCCTCATATAGTTATTTGTTCTACATCAAACATTCCATGAGAACTTTATCCAAGGAGGGGAAGTTGTCCTTAAATTCTTTCTCACCTTTCCCGCAACCCCCCACCCCCACCCCCAAATATGGAAAGATATTCAGCTAATATACAACCACATAGCAGGGTTTATGGAGGGGGCACAGCAGCAGTTATTAGGAAGGAGGTACAGGTGACCAAATTACTGTCTGAAGGTAAAATATAGCCTGAAAGAAGAAAGAGAAAGAAGATATCAGCAAATTCCCTTATTGTACACCATAATAATATGATTATGTGAAGGGCATAAGGCAGTTTGACTCATTAATATTTAGTTTTCAGTATGTTGGAAAGGGTTTCCTCTTATATGTTCAGCAGTATTAAAATAAAAAGTGAGTAATCTGTGGCTCAGAGCCACATACAGAGCCTAAAACAGTTTTTTTTTTTTTGCAACCTCAGATCTCAATTATATTATTGAATTTTGATTTCCTGCTCTTTCCTGAGATATGAAACCCATAAAAACTATTATTGAAGTTTAAAAGAAGTTAAACAACATTTTTTAACAGCTAAAAATAACAACAATCCTTTCACTCCAAAGTCCTCCCTGCAAAAAGCCAAAAAAAGATTCCAGGGATAACTTAGATATTCAGAATTCTGGCTAGCTGTGACACAGAAATTTGAGGAAACTAGTTCACCCAGAAAAAAATGTAAAAATCCTTGTACATCCACTTAATGTATTTATTATATACATATGTATATTATATACATTATATACATATGTCTATAATACATAGTATTTATTATATACATATATAAATATATGTATTTATTAAATACATATACATAATGTATTTATTATATATTCTTTTGTTACCCTATCTTTGTGATAAACACTAACATAATCATACATCAACCAAATAAATGTTTAAAAAAACCCAATTACGATTCCTGTTATAAATGCTCTTTTAAAAGCTGAACTTTTCAGGGATTCCTTCTTTAAATCCAAAGGCAATTTAAACACGGATATTCATAGCTATGATGCCCAGAATTATTATCTTAACATACAACAGTCTCTGAATGAAGGCTGATGCAAAAGTTGTAATAGTTGTGTAACTTTCAAAAGAGAGGTGAAATTAAAATCGGATTTCTAACTTAAGTCTATTTTGTATGGGTTTTAATTCTCCAATAAGTTCTCAAAGCAAACTTCTGGGGAGGCCTGGCATTCCTCCAAGCTAATGATCTGCCACTTATTGGAAACTGACGTCTCCTCCCACTTGCTAGTTGCACTAGCAAACGGTTTTGAAGCGTTTGGTTTCACACCTCTTCGCTCGCTCCTCCTGATCCTCCCCTAAAGCAGGGCCAGGATTTCACTTTCCCAAGTTCTCTGCCTCCCACCCCCACAACGAGTCGGAGGAGTAATCTGGGGATCCTCCTTGCTCAAAAGCCCCAAACCTTTCGACACCCGCTCCAGTCTAGCTCAGAAAACCTTCCCTGACCCTACAGGATTTACCCCCGAGAAAACCAATACGGGACGGCGGAGTTAACGGGATGCAATCAGCTGAGATCTCTAGCCGCCTGGGGAAAGCGGGGGAGTGCAGCAGCTCTACTTCCCAGGTTTGTCCGAAAGGCTAGGGAGGAAGGAACCGGGAGCCCAGCCGCTACCATCCCCGTCCTCGCTCGGTGGATAAGAAGGCGGTTTCCCTCTCCCGCGTACAATACTTCGAGACCACTCTTTACCTTCTGCTCTCTCGGAGTCCCTCCACTTGCCTAAACCAGTGAAAACACTTCTTTCGCCTACAGAAGCAAGGCGCTTCCGGGAACCCTGGGCAGGCGTCACTTCCTTTCCTACGTGGGAAACCACCCCTTCTCCGGAGGGCGCGTCGTCCTTTTCCTCGGGTCTGCGTTTCCCATCGCGCTGATGCTCCCTGTCTCGCGGGGGTTGCACAACACCGAGCGTGGGGGGGGGGGGGGGGGGCCCGGGGGGAGGGGGGGCTCTTTTGGCTTCCGGGGAAAGGGAAAAAAAAAAAAAGGAATTGTGCAATTCGGACTCCATTTAGCCATATCCACAAGATGCTGATTGGGCAGCCTCGTTTAGATCCATTTTGCTGAGTGGCAAGTGCGTGGATTTCACACTGAAGCAGCTTCAGTGGTGATGGTTTGTTCTTCGCCCACGGGGTGTGCTTTTTTTTTTTTTTTTTTTTGCAGTCTCTAGATTGCTTTTCACAACTTCTTCACCCGAGAATAGTGCCATTTAGTTCGGTAACTTCTTATAAAGGAAGGTTATATAAAATGTTTTAGAGATAGCATTTACCACCTGCTAGGTTAGCCAAAATACTCAAAAATGTCTAGTAAATGTTGGAAATGTAACCAAAATTCTGGCACATATTATCATCTGTGGTGGACTTGTGCTAAAGCAAAAGCAAAAAAAAAAAAGGGGGGGGGGCAAAAATACACATGTGGCTAGAAAAGATGTCAGGAAAATCCGTAGATTTTACATCTGAACTTTTTTTATTAGGCATACCCTGTTTCCCCCAAAATAAGACACCCGCTAATAATAATCCCAATCGGGCTTTTGTGTGCATGGCAGTAAGGCCAAGCGTTTATTTTAGGGTTCAAAAAATATAAAACAGGGACTTATTTCCGGGGAAACATAGCACTACCAGAAAACTTTGATAAAGTGTATATTTAATATTGCATGTATTAACAGCAGCAAGGATTGTATTTGCGCAGCATTGGAAAAATGAAGAAATATCACTAGATGAAGAGATAATTAAGAAGTTATTGGACTGTGCAGAAATGGACAGACTTATATTGAAGATTAAACAGAAAGAAGATCCAGAATACTACTAAACATGGAGTTTATTTTATCAGTGGCTGGAAAAAGAGATAAAGGTTAGGAATATAGTTTGTATTGTTAAGCACACAAAAACAACCCAGACAACACGATCTTTATTAAGCACTATTAAATGTAATAATAGAAAATTAATAAAACTTTATAAAAAAAAGAATGCCATTAATTAAAGTTTTGTCTTCCTAAGAAGCAAACCTTGGATGTTCTATGGAATCCAAACATTCTGAAACCAAGGCAGATTGAAGTTTTGAACTTCTTTTATTCTCATGGGTTGTTATTCAGTTATGAAATTACAATTACAAACTTTATTTGGTCTTAGATCAGAATTACATCAAACAACAGCAGTCACAGACATCCACATAATTTGATACATGTATAGTGAGTCTGATCTGTCCTGGAGTGGCAACCTTGTTATAGTACAACTTTATAAGTACAGGATGTCTTAACTGCTGGCAGATAATTTACATATTCATCTGAATGCGCAGAGAACATTTTAATAAAGGAAAGAAGCTTCCTTTGTCTCAAATTAGAGTGAAATAAACAGTTTAAAAGAATACGTTCAATAGATAAGATTTGTCCCAGATGGGCATAAACTTTGTAATATGGGTGTTTTATTAAATATGCATTTTATAATTGTTGAGATTAATGTATATTATAACACCACTAAAAGGAACTTATGCAGCAATTGCTAATTAGTACAGGTAGTCCTTGACTTACAACAGTTTGTATAGTGACTGTTCAAAGTTACAACTGCATTGAAAAATGTGACTTGTGACCATTTTTCATAGTTACGACCTTTGCAACATCTCCATGATCATGTGATCAAAATTCAGATATTTGGCAACTGGTTCATATTTATGACTGTTGCTGTGTTCTAGGGTCACATGATCACCTTTTTGCAACCTGACAGGTAGAAAGGGAGACAGGGAACTGGACTGGAAGACCTCCAAGGTCCCTTCCAACTCTATTATTCCTTTTAAAAGTACCTTTAGGGTTTTCATTGATGTTGCTGCCATAGATGAAATGTAGCTTGTCTTTGTGCATTTTACTGAAGGGATGTGTTTAGAATGGGAGAATTAATGTGAAATAGTGTACGCTATGGCTCCCTCAAAAATCAATAGTCTCTCTTCCTCACTCTAAAATGGGTAATTTAAATGAGCCTTGGTACTACAGTGGTTTAAAGCACCCTGTTATTAACACAGCTGCCTGCAATTTACTGCTGGTTCGAATCTCTCCAAGGCTCAAGGTTGACTCAGCCTTCCATCCTTTCTAAGGTAGGTTAAATGAGGACCCAGTTTGTGGGGGCAATAAGCTGACTTTGTATAAAATATACAAAAGTATGAAGGCTATTGCTTAACGCACTGTAAGCCGCCCTGAGTCTCCGGAGAAGGGCGGCATATAAATCAAATAAAAAAAAAAAAAAAAATTATGATAATCTGTTAAACTACTGAAGTTCGCAGATGACACAACAGTGATTCATCATTGTCTCAAATGAATCTGCATACAGACGGGAGGTTTAACAACTAGCCTCATGGTGCGACCGGAACAATCTGGAACTGAACACACACAAAACCGTAGAAATGGTGGTGGACTTTAGGAGAAACCCTCCCATACTACCACCTCTTACAATACTAAGAATCAACAGTAGAGACCTTCAAATTTCAAGGTTCTACCGTATCTCACGATCTAAAATGGACACCCAACATCAAAAATGTCATCAAAACACAACAATTTAATTTAATTAATTCAATTTATATGCCGCCCCTCTCTGAAGACTCAGGGCGGCTGAACAAAGAATGTTCTTTGCGCCACTTCAGACAGTTCAAACTGCCCAAAGAGCTGCTGATACAGTTCTACAGAGGAATTATTGAGTCTGTCATCTATAACTCTCTGGTTTGGTTCTGCAACCCAACAAGACAGACACAGACTTCAAAGGATAATTAGAACTGCAGAAAAAACAATTTCTACCAACCTGCCTTCCATGAGGACCTGTATACTGCACGAGTCAAAAAGAGGGCTGTGAAAATATTTACAGACCCCTTGCATCCTGGACATAAACTTGTTTCAACTCCTACCCTCAAAAAGACGCTATAGAGCACTGCACACCAGAGCAACTAGACACAAGAACAGTTTTTTCCTGAACGCTATCACTTTGCTAAACAAATAATTCCCTCAACACTGTCAAACTAGTTACTAAGAATGCATTACTATTAATCTTCTCATTGTTCCTATCACCCATCTCCTCCCACATATGACTGTATGACTGTAACCTTGTTGTTGGTGTCCTTAAGATTTATATTGTTTCCATATAATTATCATTAAGTGTTGTACCTTATGATTCTTGACAAACATATCTTTTCTTTTATGTACTCTTGAGAGCATATGCACCAAGACAAATTCCTTGTGTATCCAATCACACTTGGCCAATAAAGAATTCTATTCTATTCTTCTATAAAGAATTCTATTCTATCAAGATAGAAAAGAAAGCAAGAAGGTCAAGGGATTAGGGAAGGATTTATTCATAATGTCTGCTGCTGCTTTAAAGTAGTTCTCTTTATTGCTAAAATTGGTTTCTTATTACTGACTACACCAAAATTTTACTATAGGCTCTAAAAGGTGTAAACTATAATTCAACATTGGACTATCTTTAGGGCCATCCTTAATATTTTGAAGAAACCAAGGTCTGCTTGAAAATGACTCTGCATCTTATGTGGAAGTGGAGACAAATCTGGATATTTTTTATGCATGTTATTTCTTCTAGATCTACTTTAGAGCTTGACTATAGTTTTTATTTGTTTCCTATATTAAAATGGCAGGAAACTTACCTTCAGTTTTCAGCACTCATGGTCCATATTTTTGGTTTCTGATCATTTTTATTTTTTATTTTATTTATTTATTAGTTTAATTTATATGCCGCCCTTCTCCGGAGACTCAGGGCAGCTTACAACGCATTACGCAATAGCCTTCATACTTTTGTATATACCTGCTTAGTAGGGCTTTTTTTGGCCCCCTCTAAGCGGTGTTCTATTTTATACAAAGTCAGCTTATTGCCCTCACAAACTGGGTCCTCATTTTACCTACCTTGAAAAGATGGAAGGCTGAGTCAACCTTGAGCCTGGTGAGAATTGAACTTGCAGTAATTGCAGGCAGCTGGCAGCTAAATGCTACTTTTAACAGTAGTTTAGTCTGTTGCGCCACCCGGCTCCTAGTGCCTGGTGATTTTGATCATTTTCTTTTCATTGGACTGATTTTAATTTTTCTGAGTACTTCCTGAAATGAGACACAATACTCACAATAGGATTCAACTTGCATCATTAGCCTCTACAAAAATGTATGTCCCCCTGTTAATCAAAATTTGGTCTGTTCACATTTTATTGAGATTTAGCGAGATATTTTGTCAAAAACATTCTGGTAATCCAAGAATACAATGTCAGCAGATTAATTCTCTTGCTGATTCCTTCCAAGATCTGTATATCTATATACCCGATTAATAGTCTTTACCTCTATATCCAAGATAAAGTTGAAGTTGCATGTTAATTACCAATATTCCCTTCCACTTGTCCATTGTTTTCTCTAAACATTGTGTTACATTTTATATCATCTCAGTCGAAATTGCTGTGGTATCACACTGTTCAGATAATATCCATCACTTTCTTAGTCATCTTGAATATGAAGTTATCTTTATTGAAAATAAAGAGATACATTATTTATAACACTGAAATCTTATTTGGCATCTGATCTCAGGTTATATCTAGATAAACATAAAATGGAATATGGTAATGGCTGCAACTTTAAAAAATATCAAAGGACATTGGATAAATATCAACCTAAAGATCTGCAAAGTCCTGAAGTCCTGGCTTTGTGTTTGCAATCCTGCAGCCACTTATGTGCAATGAATCCATTTCCTGTTTATACTAAATGATAATTATTGCTTTTATAATTTTTTCAGCTATATGTTATTTTATCATTTCATCATTTTTTAATCCACACATCTTCAGATTGCCAAGGTTGAGAAACACTGCAATAATTACAGTAGTGGCTTAAAAAACAGGGCTAGATTCAAAATAAATCTTAGCTGGGCATGAAGTTCTCTGGATGGCCTTGTTGCAGTGGTGAAATCCAAATTTTTTTACTACCGGTTCTGTGGGCGTGGCTTGGTGGATGTGGCAAGGGAAGGATACTGCAAAATCTCCATTCCCACCCCTCTCTGGGGCCAGCCAGAGGTGGTATTTGCCGGTTCTCCGAACTACTCGGAATTTCCACTACCCGTTCTCCGAACTGCTCAAAATTTCCGCTACCGGTTCTCCAGAACCTGTCAGAACCTACTGGATTTCACCACTGCCCTGTTGGTCAGGTAGTATGCCCTATCTCAAATGCATCTCATAACAACAAATGATTAGGGCACAGCCAAAGATTCCCTTTCCTCCTTATGGAAAAAAGATTAAAAAATTAATATACTATTTTAAGATGACTAAAATACCCTTCAACTACACATTCTACATACTTCCAAACTCAATTAACAGAAGATGTATTTTCTCTTGTGGCACATCAGCCTTTGCATTTAATCAGCAGGTCCCTTCTGACTGACATCTTCAATACGATTTATTTATCTTCCTGATGGTGATTTCTTTTTAAAAAAATTCCGATTGCTTTATCCTAAACAATCTGATTCCAACTTTGACCATTACAATAGCGACTCAGTTCCTAAGAGGCAATCAATGGGTGACGGGGGGGGGGGGAGGTGAGGGAGACTAATCCCCGGGATACAAAGCAAACGGTTTGCATGCATCCTTGGCTGCAGCTGTGTACGAAGGTCGCAGACCCCAGAATCTCAGTCTAGCTTCTTTTCACGGAAGACCGAGGAATGAAAGTTTAAGGAAACAGCAATTTAGCAGAGGAGAACGATGGGCGCATGCGCAGACCGGTAGGGCAAACTTCAAGAGGAACTTTTCTGAAGGAGCTGGAGAACGTTTTGGGCTGAGTAGATAGATTTTTTTTTTTCTGCGTTTTGGTTGTGGATTAAATCTATTCTCCTGGTGAAGAGCGATGGCTTATAAATCATAGTCCATCCTGAAACGGAGTTCTTTACCCCAGAATAGGGTGGGGAGGGGCGAAAGGTGGGAGAAAAGATTCGGGCCGAGAGAGGCAATGAATGAACCGCGGGAGAAGAAGCTAGAAATGCAGGTTTCACACTGTTGTTCCCTAGAAACCCCGCCGGACTCATTTCAATTTGTCTCTCTCTAGAGGTTGGGTTTAAAGTTGAATTTTAGTTTTAGACTGAAACCGAGTTGAGGATCTGAAAGTCAATCGGAAGATCTGATAAAAAAAACACCAGTTCCGGGTACTGTAAGTGTGATATATTGCAGGTATTATCATGGCAGGGTTGAATTGTAAAGGAGGTTTTAAGAAACAGGTGAAAGAGGCAGAAGAAGAGATGTATTGGCTAGAGCAGTGTTTCTCAACCTTGGCAATTTTAAGATACAAGGATGTGTATGGACTTCCCCAGAATTCCCCAGCCAACATGGAAAATCTTCAAATTGCCAAGTTTAAAATTACACTGGGTTAAATGATTGGGCTGGAGAGGCCTAGGTCCAAATCTCCATTTGATCACAAAACTGACTGTTTGATATTAATTCTTAATGTAGTTTACTTCCCAGGAAAACTGTGAAGATAAACAAAATTATGTAGCCCAAAATTATGTTTCCTACTTTGGAGAAAATTCAGGAAATAAATAAAAATCCTAAAAGAAGAATATCATATGTGGAGCAAAGAAGTGTTATTTTCTGTTGTTCTATTGAAAGTGATGCAAGTCTTGTCTTGAGTATGTGTGTTTGTGTTTGCTTGGCACAGCAATGATCCTAACATGATTTGATTCTGGATCCCACAGGATGGATGAATAGATATGTTCGACTTCGGGCAGGCAGCTGAATAAGGTTCTTGCAAATACAGAAGAGAAAGAGAATGTGTCTATGGTGTGTTAAGAACTGTCCAGGGAAACAGTGAGAAAGCAGGTGCAAGAGATGATGAAAAAAGGCAACCGGCAGAATAAAAACTAATACAGTATTTTCTATGGGTTTGTTTCCCTTTCCCTTTCAGACATGATGGTAGTTGGAAAAAGAAAGGACTCTTCCGTGGTTTGAAATACCAGCTCAGCCTTGCATAGTTCCAAGCTCATGGCTGGAAGTCCGGTGCCCCCTCGGAGGAAGGTGGTTGAGGAGACACGGCTGGTGTTGGAAGCATTCTTGCAAGGAGCATTAAACAACGGAGAGGATGGGGCCCCAGGTCATGTGGGTCGTGGCTACCATGACCCCCAAAGTTACATGTCCAGGTAATGGCTTTTACAGTTGAAGATTCGACTTATCTGCAAGGAAAGAAAATAAACAGAGCAGTGTTTCTCAAACTTGACAACTTGATGAAATGTGGACTTCAACTCCCAGAATTCTGAGAAAGCCTACATAATGTCAAGCTGCCAAGGTTGAGAAACCTGAAATAGTGGGATTTGAGCAGAAATCTAATAATCTGTAGATGGCAAGGGCTTCTATAGTGTTGAAACTTGAATTCTAGTCTTGGATTCTATGGAATTAATATTCTGGCCTAATAGAAAGGCTTTTGATTTTCAGTAGAAGTTTGAAAACTGAGAGACAAGAAGCTTAAATAATTTGACCAGAAGTGCTGTGATAGTCAGGATTTTTTAAAAAAACACTTCTTCCAGTATCTGACTAGGTGGCTCAGTGTCCTGACTAGGTGGCTGAGTGGTTGAGCTTGCCAATGAGAAAGGTGGGCAGTTTGGCAGTTCGAATCCTTAGTACAGGTCTCCTGTGTGAGCAGGCGGTTGGACTAGATGAACTCCAAGGTCCCTTCCAACTCTGTTACTGTTACCTATCTCTGTCCTCACAGACAAAATAGCAGTTTGAGACTCATTTTCTCCAAAACGCTATTACCATATCCATCTCTTTAATCCATCCTTTTAATATTATATGGCTAAAGTTTTTTCCCTACCTCAAATATTTACTCTTCCTGGCTTCATTTTTTAAAATAATTTCCCCAACCCTTTACCAAAAGTGTTGTATTGCTGCTCCTCACAAACAATTTTATTACTTTCAGTTTCATGAGGCTTTGCTGCTTTGAAATATCTCTTATAGAATAAGTGAAGAAATATGTGCAAATAAAAAAATGACAAAAATGAACCAAGGAGGTTAAGGAGTAGAACAACAGGCCACGGTTCCCATTTTCAGTGTGCTTTCTTCTGTCCACAGGTCCCCTGCGGAACATTTTCCAAAGTGTCCTGCCTGCAGCCCTGTTCATGAAGGAAGTAACTGTGTGGAAGGGAAAAAACATGGTATCCGCACCAGCATTAAGCACCTGTTGCAGAAGCGGTCCAGTGCTCGAGGACCCTCAGACAATCTGCCCACCCCTGGAGACTCCTTAAAGAAATCTAAGCCAGGACTTGAAGGGGCCCACCGCAAGCGCCACTTCTCCTTCAAGGGCCTCCTGAAGAAGAAGACTGCTTCAGCAGAGATAACCGACTCCAATGCTCTCCCCAGGCGGCCTGACACGTTGCCTCTTGTCACCTGCTATTGCAAACTGCAGGCAGCTGAACCAGAAGAGGCCCAGGCAACAGGCAGTATGAAGTTTTGCTCCTTATTCTGTTTTCTCCTTGGTTCTTTATTGTGATGATCAAGCCTTGCTTGGAAGGATGGATGGGAATACTGTGTTTCCCTGAAAGTAAGACCCGGTCTTATTTTCTTTTGACCTCCGAAAAACTGTCTAGTACTTCTTTTCAGGGGTCTAATTACTGACTCATCTCGCAGCAATGGCACCAACAATCTCGCCCAGCAGGAGCCCATTGCCGGGCCACTTCTTCTGTGGCCATTTGCCGCCGCTCACACATGTCACTTCCAGCCTCCATTTCGCCATCAGAGCCTTCCGGAAAGCCCTCTGCAGCTGAAAATAGAACTCTGGATCAATCCGGAGTTCTGTTATCGGCTGCAAAGGGCTTTCCAGAAGGCTCTGACATTGAAACAGAGGCCGGGGCGACACGTGCGTCAGTCCAGACCTCGTTTCTTGGTTGCAGAGGGCTTTCCGTAAGGCCTTTGATGGCAAAACTGAGGCCAGGGGCAACACATGGGAGCGGCGACAAGCGGCCGCAAAAGAAGTGGGCCTGTAAGGCAAAACAGGTGTTGGTGTGTGCGAGGCCTGGTAAGTAGGGCAGCTTCACTCCCCAATCCTCAACCTAGCTTAATTTGTACCCATGCGCCCCACCCCCTGCACCCTGGGTGGGTGGGGTCTTAATTAGGGCTTAATTTGGGGGTAGAGCTTGTATTGGACGCACGTGTAAAAATCAAGCAAGGGCTTACTTTCAGGGTAGGTCATATTTTCACGGAAACATAGTATATCTTGGCTTCTTGGAGGAATAATAATATAAAGTTATGTTTTATCTTTCCAATGTTCATTTTGAACAAAGATTTGAATCTTATTGTCTCCAAGATGATTGCTGTGGTCATTATACCATGTTAGGCTTATATGTGCTTATTTTTAATATATTTTCAACTTTCTTGAAGTAATGGGAACTTCCTGACTCCAGGCTGGATGCAACCCTTGTTTGCTTTAATTTATATGTTTGCTTTAATTTATATGCCACCCTTCTCCGGAGACTCAGGGCGGCTTACAATGCATTAAGCAATAGCCTTCATACTTTTGTATATTTATACAAAGTCAGTTTATTGCCCCCACAATCTGGGTCCTCATTTCACCTACCTTTGAAAGGATGGAAGGCTGAGTCAACCTTGAGCCTGGCGAGATTTGAACTTGCAGTAATTGCAAGCAGCAGATGTTAAATACAGTGCTTTAGTCCACTGTACTACAGGCTCTTATGAACCCTCAAAGTCGTCTTATTACCTTCTTAGACCAAGGTAGAAGTCCTTCCCACTTTCCATAACCTATTTGAAAGCCAGTTCAGATCATTTCATAGTTCTCTGCATATACTCAAAGATCATCTTATTCTTGGCACCCAAAGGAACAAGAAGTTACCTGTTTATAAGACCTGATTGGCAAATCATTGACTTCTCCAAATAGTGACTTCAAAAAGTCACTTAGCAAATAAATTTGAAAGCAATTTCTATTGCTATTTTGAGGAATTCCATTGCTAGGCTATAACTATGTTTGCTAATTTTTTAAAAACCTCTTAAACCTTAAAACTTTTTTTTTTAAATGCTGTCCTGCCTTTTTTTTCACAGAGCTCAAGGACATTTTTCATGGCTTCCTCTTAGCTAGACAGATTGTAGGCCTCATGTTGTTGAGGCCAATTAAAATTAGACAATAGGTAACAGAATTTAGGAAAATGATATTCTACATTTTTTCACAGAATGACACTGAAAAAAAGTACTTTTAAGCTTTTGGATTGATTTAAGAATAGTAATTCCTCCACCAATCCTAACATTTGAAGTGTTCTCCCCATGCCCAATTAACCATGACCAAGACCAAGCTAGAAAAATTAAGAAATACTATAGTCCTTGACTTACAACCATTTGTTTAATGATGATTTAAAGTTACTGCGGCACTGAAAAAAAGTGATTTATGACCAGTTTTCACACTTATGACATCCCCACAGACATATGCTGAAACTCTGGGTGCTTGGCAATCAGCATGTATTTATAATGGTTGCAGCATCTCAGATTCATGGGATTGTCATTTGCAACCTTCTTAAGGGGCTTCTGACAAGAAAAGTCAATGGGGGAAGCTAAATTCGCTTAATGAGCACATGATTCACTTAATAACTTTAGTGGTTTGCTTAAGATTGTAAAATGAGTTATGACTCACTTAAGTATCTCGCTTAGTAACGGACATTGTGAATTCGGCTGAGGTTGTAAGTCGAGGATTACCTGTAAATAAACTATACAACTTCTAGCAGTCTAAAAATCTTTAAAATGCCCAATTCTTGTACTAAAGCAAGATATGGATATTATAGGAAATCTTGAGCTGCAAGTAATTATGTCTGTAGGCGAAGAACAAAAAAGTTAGATTTACTTCCTAAATTAATGGATAATATGCAATATTTTTCTCTAGAAGAAATTAATTATTGGATTAAGGAAGTTACATTTAGGGCATCTTGTCCCACAATTTCAGGTATACCCTTTCTACCTCTACCTCCTACTGCTTTCCTGGTGAAGCTCATACTTGGCAATAATAGTAGTAATTTATTGGGCAAATCTGAAGTCATTCAAAAATTCTGATTGTTTCTTAAATATTGAATTTCCCCTTGACAATATTCATTTAACTTGCTTTTTTTAACCACTAGATCCCCAAACTGATAAGCCATGATGTAAAAATAACATTCCCACTCCAATATCAACATATTCTTACAGTCACTTCCCACCTTAAATATGTTTTTATAATATGATATTCTGCATTCAGGACAGAGTGATCCTATATTGAAATAAACATTTATTTCTTAGATTTAGAACTTGGGCCCATTCAAAAGCTCAAAATAATATATAAGCACATCTTCCTTCTATATTTTTTCCCAACAACAGTCCTATGAAATAGATTGGGTTGAGAGAGAATCTCTTGCTTTCTAAAAAGAATTCAAAATCTCTGATATTTAAAAGTGAAAATCACTTCTTACAAATTATCCCTTTTAAATGGAATCTTCTGTTTAAGTTTGTCAGAAAAAATACTCTTTTCTCTTACATAATTCCAATAATAATTTAAGTGCAATTATTTCTGTATTATCAATTTTTAATCTATAGTTAAAATGCTGCTACAATACTGGATCTCTAGTTTTCTTCCTGATAAACTACAGAAGAACATCATTTCTCAAATATTACATAGTTATCTGACAGATAATCAAGTTACCATGGCCTCAGTAGATGGCAACACTTAGCTGGTTTGATTGATCTCAAAAGGCTAAGTGGGAGCAGGCCTGCTTAGTTCTTGATAGCAGCCTATCAGGACATTTCAAGTAAAATGGGAAGTAAAAAAGATCCTAGAAGAAAGCAATGGCAAAACACTTCCATATTACTCTATCAAAACTATACAGATTTTTTCAGGTATTACTAGGAATTGGACTTGATTTGATGGAATATGTACTTTAATCATGTTAGTATAGTACTGTATTCACCTTTTAGTCTTTTGCTGTTCACTTGTTTCTGTAACCTCTTTGATATAGGATTTGATATTTTTCTTTGTGCACCTTGCTTTAATAACTTTCCATTCTTTTTTCCAGATGGTGAAGCTGAGGATGCTGAATTTTATACTTTGGTGGCTCAGAAACTAGATTACTTTTTGAAACACCAACAACGGATCAGCCCTATAGCTGCAAAAAGCTCAGTTTCTCCCAAAGATCCAAACATTACAATTTCCACAGACACAATCTCTGATTCAGGTACTACATTTATTTTCTTGTGTATTTAAGCTGCCTCATCCAAAAACTCTGGGTATATAACAGTGATAACACAGAAATCCCTTCTTGATCTTTAAATTGGGTATCTCAGTGTTTTCTGTACTCACTGTCACCTTTGTGTTTTGTTGAGACTTTAATTTCTCAAAATTCCAACCAACTTTTGGCCAATAAATGTGAAAAGCACCAGATTAGAGAAGTATGTTTTGGAGGAAGTACATATCAAATCATATAGAAAGAAAGATGACTCTGAATTTTAAAAAATCTTTCCACCTGAAAAATGAAGCTTAGATGAAACAATTCATCTCCCTTTACAGCAATCTTACAAATCTAAACAGATTCCTCCATTTTAAATTAAACTATTAATTTAATTCAATTCCATTTATCTAAATTATTTGGGGGGGAAACTAGTCTTCCTTTGAAGAATTGGTAGCACAGGACAATAGGGATCAAATGACAAGTACATCTTGATATCATCACAAAGTGATATGAATATTTCCTTCTGACAAATAATATAATATTTATACAATGACTTTACAACACACATGCTGTCATTTTGACATCTATGTGGCTTAAAACTGGTGACTGTTCTTTCAGGGAAATACTGTTTATATTTTGGAATGACAATAATATGTTTTACTCAGTTGCCTTGGAAAAAGTGCCAGAACAATTGGCTGAGAAACAGAAAGAACAAATCCTTCAGAAATTGGTTGCCCTTCTGGAAGAGCAGGCTGCCGTCTTCAATAAAAAGGTACACATGCAACAAAGAGTTACTGCATAAAGTATTGACATTCAAAGTGCAAAGCCAGGTATTGGGTGTTTTGTGGCTGCTGTGTGTAATTTTACACTATATTGGGTTGCTTTGCCAAATATAAATAAAATAAAAATAAATAAATAAATAAAATAAAATAAAATCTGTAAAATTGCAAAACCATAATAATTATTTAGGGATGATCTATTCTGAAAAAAGTAGAGTTTACTATAGTTGCACTAAACATATCATTTACCTCACTGACTCTGTCTGAATGATAAGCTGTGTTTTTTAAATATGGTATTTTTTGCACTATAAGATGCACTCCCCCCCCCCCAAAAAAAGTGGGTGGAAGTGTCTGTGCATCTTATAGAGCGACTATTGCAGTGGGGGGAAGAGGGTTGATGCGGCATCATTCACTGCTGCCTGTCACCACTGCCGCTGTTCACTGCTGCCAGGGAACACTGGAGCCTTCGCTGCCAAGCAGCTGATCGGTGGTTGGATTGGGCTCCCAGAATACTGCCAATCAGCTGTTCTAGGCAGCGGGGATTGCCGTTTGCCGCCACCAAATGAACAGTTGATTAGCAATATTCCGGGAGGCCGATCCAACCGCCAATAAGCTACTCGGCAGTGAAGGTTCCAGTGTTTCCCAGCGGCAGCAGCTCAGCTCAGTTGACTGGCGGTGGGCGCAATGGAGTGGAGCCCTGACGAGCCACGTGCTGGGGCTGCAATAACGTGCTGAAGCTGATCAGGCTGTTTGCTGTTTGCTGCAAGGACGCTAGCCAGATGAATACCGGATGGATGCTGGGAGGCAGAGGCAGATTTTTTTTTTCTTGTTTTCCTTTTCTAAAGTTAATATGTGTCGGTCTGGTACGTTTTATAGTGCGAAAAATATGGTAAATCTTCCATTAATTAGCTGAATATAGCCATATTAATTTACTTGTTCAATTAATGTATTTTTCAGTGCTTTAGCATGACTAAAATCATCTCAAGAAAATAAAAATGCAATCAATTCAAGTCAATTATAAAATGTATACCGATAGAAACAATTAAGAATGAGAGAATTAACAGAACATACATGTAAAACTTTAAAAAGAAAAATAGCATTTGTGATAAAAAGCAGCCACTATCATAAAAGTCTTCCCATAAAATAACTTACTACTTAGCCAGAATTTCAGGATACAGGGCGACTTTGGTAATATGTTGCCTTAGGGTAGGAGTGGGTTTGATATAATCTGTTTCTCAATCACTTGGAGGATCTGGTATTTATAAACAAATTAAAGTTTTGCAGTATTTAATAAAACAGTGTACAAGTAACAAGTAACATGATTATAAATGGCTTCAATATAAAGAAACAAATTATCATGCTTGTTTATAGATTGACTCTTTTTTGTAGAACTAAGGAGAAATTTCCTGACAGTTAGAACAATTAATAAGTGGAACAACTTGCCTGCAGAATTTGTGAATGCTCCAACACTGGAAATTTTTAAGAAGATGCTGGATAACCATTTGTCCGAAGTGATGTAGGGTTTCCTGCCTGGGCAGGGGTTGGACTAGAAGACCTCCAAGGTCCCTTCCAACTCTGTTATTCTATTGTAATATTTATCAGTGTTACTCTTCACATACTGTAAACTTTTCCTCTAACCTTTTTCCCTTTTTGCTTTTATTAAATGTTTTCTCCCATCCCACTGATTACTGCCCACCTCTCACTGCTTCTCTCTTGAAGCTCATATAGCCCCCTGCTCTACTTGCCTAATAAAGAAATGCCGAATTACCAATAAGTATTAATTTGCCTTACACTCAAGCAACCAAATACCATTTCATCACTTCCACAAGCTAATTCTTAATAAACCAGCAAATAGGGCACTTGAACTGAAGTTCTACGTTGTATAGGGTTGTATTTTTGCAAGAAACATTGTTTTATATAGCCTTTTCTCATCATTTTTAACAGTTGCATTATTTCCCACAAAGGACCATAGAGGCCGCTGATTCATGATTCAGAGTTGGTTTTATAGACCTTTACTGGAGCTACTGTGAATCCAAAGTTGCAAATCTCTTAGGAATACTCTAGTGTTCAAAGCATTTAGATAAAAAATTACTAGAACTGAATTACATATGTAAAACAAATATTTATATTTCTTGTGGTATTGATCAACTGTGTAATTGTGGAATCTTAGGTTTTCTTCAACTCACATACACAATAAAACTGTATCTTCATATAGATAAAGATTCCCCAAACATAGGCTGATTAATTTTGGGATAAGTAACTTTCTGAGAATGTGTATATACCACCTGAATTCTGAAACATTATAAAAGCAGAATATAATTGAAAATAGTAGGATTTATTGTATGTATGCTACCCAAATTCTTTCTTTCCCTTTCCACTGATATGCTCAGGTTATTTTTTATTTGTGAAACCATATTTTCATACTCTTCAAGAAAGGAAAATGTGTATCAATCAAAGAAAAAAAGAAACAGCATTTCACTCCTGGACTAGATTGAATTTTTTAAATGATGACTCTTTTGTTTAATGAGTATATTCTTGAGTTCCATAAACTTTCTGAGGAATAGCTTCTAAATGAAAGAAAAGCAGTAGTAGAATGTTCCTAAGTTGTCTAGTCCCACTCAAGCATCTCAAACAGATAGCTGTCCAGCCTTTATTTTTTTCACCTCTACCAAAGGAGACTCCAAGTCATAGGTCTCTATCATTAATAAAAAAATGTTCCTATTGTTTTGTCTGTTCCTTTGCCATTGACACTCATTCAGTTCCTATCAGCAAAAGAAATCTTTGGTGCAACAACATTTCACATATTTGAATGTTCCTATTAGGTTTCCTTTCAGCCTTCCAACTCAGAGGTTCCTTATCTGGGGCATCATCTTTGTTTAATTGCAATTGTCCCTTAAAAAGCTTCCTTTAACATTTAAATTTTTGCCATTCATGTCATTTTCTTTCATTGGCAGATTGAAGCTGACCCATTGCTACGCAACACTATCTCCCGCCTCTCCTACCGCAGCTTTACTCACCTGGCTGAAGCCTTCACATCACGTACCCCACCTGGGGTCTCTAGCCCTCAGCTAGCCAAGCTAGCCCTTACCATGGAACTAACAAGGAAAGTGGCTGGCATCAACAGCCATGCAGTACATACCCTCATGGGCTACAGTTTGCAGTACATGGATATGTTCATACCTTGGCTCCAGCAGCAAGGTGGCTGGGTATGTGGAGAAACATGTGTTTCCTTGTGTTTTACTTATGCTAGGTCAAATCACATAAAAAGCCCCCCCCCCCCGTCCCCCAAATGAAATAGAGAAAAAAATCCTGATTATTTTGCTCAAAACATAATTATGATGACGTGAGGTTCTAATTAAATACTTTGGGAAAAAACAGTCATCTCTTCTGTAAATTGTCTGCTTTTGAGGGTTACAAAATTGGAATAAGACATCCTATTTAGCTGAATACATTGTCTAAAAGCTGCAACTAAGAGCTCATACCATAAGCATCTTAGTTCTATATTAGAAGATAACCTGTATTATATGTATAGTACATGAATCTTGTGTTCTCTATCCCTGCATTATCAAGTACAATTGTGTTGCAGGATGGCAGCTGACAATTTATTTTTTCCTACAAAAAAAGAGAAAAGGTTCATTATTATAAATTACTACAGGGGTATTTTCTTGTGGTCAAGGGACTCCATTTTAATATTTTTGGTATCCCATTGGAATAATAATGATATAATTGTATTGCTGCAAATACACTGGGCCATTTTTTTTTTGTCTTCTAAAACCAGAGGGTTTCCCACATTATACGATATGTCACAATTCTATCTGTTGTCAAAGTTGGAGCATGACACAATGGAAAAGGGAGGGAGGGAGGGAGGAAGAAAGAAAGAGAGACAGAGGGAGAGAAAGAAAGAGAAGGAAGGAAGGAAAGAGAAAGAAAGAAATTTTAACTGTGAAATGGAAATGGCTGTTCTTTATTTTTTTTTTCTTAATAGGAGAACATTGTAGCCCAGGAGGAGATATTTGACTTGCAACTTGACTGAACCAATTTCCGTGCACCAGTGGCAAAGCTCTTATGATGAATCTTGTTTGCAGAAGACTGAGTGCTGGGTAGAGCTGCTAACATCTAAAGATATTTGTGTCTTTCCACCTAAGCTAAATCCAAAGGGACATTTTTTTAGTAGCCATCACTGGAGCTAATTCTGAAATATTAAGAATTAGCAGAAACCAACTCTAATCTTCTGTTTGGAGTGAATTGCAAAATTGATCACAGTATGCCAAATTTTGTTGTCAAGTATTCCTGCAGAAGTATGAAGAAGTTACTCCCTCATAAATCTTCCAGTTGTTAAAATATTTCTGAAAGGCTGCCTTTCAGAGATGCCTGCCATCAGGCACGAAAAGTGATTCCTTTGGTGATAGCCTCTGCTCTTCCAAGTAAGTCTTACTGAGGAAGGCTTGATTTTTTTTCTTTTCACCCAAGATGAACTTTCTTTCTCAGATTTTATACTTGAGATTAAATAGATACAGTCAAATCTTATTTTATCCCTATTTTGAGATGGATGGATGGAAATTTTTAGATGTGCCTTTGCTTTGTTCTGAATTTCTTGTTCTGAGGTTCTCTGAGAAATTTTGGGATTTTAGAACAAGAAAAAGAATTCCTATGCAAAACTGACTTGAAGAAGACTCATATTAATTTCAGTGGGACTACGTTCTGTGTAAATAGGGGGAGAAAAGAAACTTAATAACAAACTCAGGGATATGGGAGTGTGTTTGTTTAATGGCAATAGCTTTTCTGAAGCACTGTGATATTTTTTTTTTGAATAAAAATTTAAAGATTCTTATATTTTGGTGTCAAATACTTTTCTTAGCGTCTGTCACTTTTCTTTGGGCAAGCCTATTCTAATGATTTGATGAAAGATAACCAACTTTCCTTTGGCTGTGCTAATGTGGAACTGAAGTTTGGAAGTCTTGTTGGAAGAAATATTCAGATCCAGTTCCAAGCCGGGAATAAAATTGAGGCTGATTGGAAAGAAAGATTCTGTTTATTGGTAAACAGAACCAAAAAACACAGTGTGGAGTTCTGGGACAGTTGAGAGTGTGTGGGTGTTTATACCTTATTTGAGCTTCCTGTTCCTGTGCAAGAACATGACCTGTAATATTCTAATGACTGTTGTCAGATTCCTATAGGGTCATGACTGGTTGTATAGGCAGAAGGGGAAATGCAAATCCTAGGTGTTTGTCTGAGTTAATCTTGTGGACCTAATTGCTTATCTGGAGTTTCTGTCTGGCCCAGTCTTTCTGAATGGATTACCAAATCTGCATTTCTAAAGATGGCCTCAGTTTGTGCTTGGGCAGGGAGATTGGTGCTGGTTTCTACCTCAATATATATTTTTTTCATTTCTCCTTTAGGGGAAATATTCTATCCTGCCTTTTTTAATATTCCCTAAAATATTTCATTCTCTAGGAGGGTGGGTGGGTGCTGACTTTCTACAGTCCAAGGGTAGCTTTAGTACACCATATTTAGTGCACCTAACTGTACAACTGAATCTATACATGCAACCTTGTACAATGCTGTTACAATTCTGGGGCTGGAACAGTTGGTAACAAGCAACACTAGGCTCAACAACTGCTTAGATTTTATCTTCTGCAATAGTCTAAACTCAATTTATAGCCTACAAGTTAAAGAACCTTTTTCTAACAGTGACCGCAACATGATTGATAGTTGTCTCAATTTATGTCCTTGCAAAGAGGGTGATAATGATGGGACTCCAAATTATAACTTTAAAAAAGCCAACTATGATCTCATAGCTGCCGACCTTGCATCTCTCGATTGCACCTTCTGTTCACAGGTTGTAATACTGCAGAAGACCATTATAACACTTTTTTGATCGAAGTCAATAGAGTTATTAACCTATACATACCAATAACAACTCCTAAAACCAAAAAAGAAACAAACAAACAAATTACCCATAACAATAAGAAAGCTACAACCCAAGAAAAAATCTCTTTGGCGAGAAAACAAAACCGGCTAGGTAGCTAACTTTAAAAACAGCTATAAAGCCTTATGCCCCCAGATAAAGACAGAATGTACCAATCACCATTGCAAACAGGAGGAAGAGCTGTTATACTTGAAATCCACCTGAGCCTTCTATAATTTCGTAAATGCCAAACTTAAAAGACTCAAAAACTATCCCATCTCTTAAAGGGCCTAACAGATGACAATGAAGCTGTTAAGGGTGTTAAGGCCAACCTCTTCAATACGTTCTTCAGTTCAGTCTTTGTCGACAGCAATGGCTGCTGCCCTACATTTCCTAGTCGCACCATAACTAATTGTAACGATTTATTACATATTGATTTTACAGTAGATAATGTTGAAATGCACTACGTAACCTAAAGCCATCTCTATCTCTTGGCTCTGATGGATTATGTGCCTACTTCTTTAAAAAGCTTGCCACTGCCATAGCTGAGCCTCTATGCACAATCTAAGAGGTGTCTTTCAGAACCAGCTCCTTGCCCAACCTATGGTCATTAGCCACAGTCATACCTATCTTTAAAAAGGGAGGCCCTAGTCTAGTAGAAAATTACAGACCAATCTCATTGTGTTGTGTCACCTGTAAAGTCATGGAATCAATTATAAACCGATCCATCACTCTCCACTTAGAAACAAACAACCCACTTCCTAACAAGCAGTTTGGTTTCAGGAAAAATTTGTCCTGTAATCTGCAACTCCTACACTGCAGAAACATTTGAACTACACATCTTGACCAGGGTAAGTAATAGACATAATTTACATAGACTTCTGCAAAGCCTTTGATTCTGTGGTGCACGACAAAGTTCTTACCATTTCCAGATCCCTGCACAAATGGATAGCCGCATCCCTGTCAAACAGGCAACATGTAGTCAAAATAGGGAGGGCCCTATCCAATCCGGTACCAGTTAACAGCAGTGTCCCCCAAGGCAGCATTCTAGGACCCACACTCTTTCTGCTTTACATCAACTACCTATGTGATCATATTAAAATCACCTGCGTCTTCTTGGCTGATGACGTAAAATTATTTAACACCACTGACAATGCTGCTGCCCTTCAAAGCGACCTTGACCATGAGTCAGAATGGTCACATATTTGGCAACTCCAAATCTCAACTAATAAATGCTCTGTCCTACACATTGGCAATAAAAATCAGAACAGCAAATACAAGTTGGACAGAAACAATCTCGTAGACAACCTTCATTCTGCCAAGGACCTAGGAGTACTCATCTCAAACGATCTAAGCCCCAGTGCTCACTGTAACAGCATTGCCAAAACGGAATTAAGAATTGTTAACCTAATTTTGAGAAGCTTCTTCTCCAGTAACATTGTATTGCTAACTAGGGCATACAAAACCTTTGCCAGACCAATTTTTGAATACAGCTCGCCTGCCTGGAATCCACACTGTATATCAGACATTAATACAATTGAGCAGGTTCAGAGGTATTTCATGAGAAGAGTCCTCCACTACTCACAAGAGAATCCCTTATGCCACCAGGCTCAAATTTTTGACTTTGGACAATCTGGAACTGCACCGCCTGCAGTCTGATCTAAGCATAGAACACACAATTGTTTGCTACAACGTCTTACCTGTCAACAACTTCTTCAGCTTCAACCTCAATAATAAATAGGAAAATAATCGATACAAACTCAAAGTAAACCGCTCCAAACTCAATTGCAGAAAATACGACTTCAGCAACAGAGTGGTCAATGCCTGGAATGCTCTACCCGACTCTCTTGTTCAACCTCAAACCCTCACAGCTTCAACCTTAAACTGTCTACCTTGGACCTCACCCCATTCCTAAGAGCTCTGTAAAGGGGGGGTCCATAAGCGCACCAGCGTGCCTACCATCCCTGTCCTATCCCCATTTATTTGAATTCATTTCTCTCGTTCATGTCCATGTTCATATTCATACCTGGTATCTTAATCATAATCATAAGTTTATTTGTCAAGCGTCTATAACAGGTAACAGTATAAACATAATTTGAATACATGAAAAGAGTAAGTAAAAAGGATTATTAGGACAGGGACGGTAGGCACGCTGGTGCACTTATGCAAGCCCCTTACAGACCTTGTACATGTTTGACAAACAAACAAACAAACAAATATTGCAGAAAAAAAGTGAAAACTGATCTAATTATTTAAAACTCGGGAAATCTTTGAATATAAATGTATATTTATTTATTTTTAAAGTGATTTGTTCTCCTGAAGGACCCCTGAATTACTCCCCCGAAATTCATCTTTAGGTACATGACTGCTGCTGGCTCCGTTCCTCAACTGATCCAAAACGGATACGGAGCAGTTCCAATTTTTTTTGCAGAACAAGCAGATCAGAGACACGGTTAGAGCAACATTATTGAAAAGGGCTCCCAGAACAAACAGGAGGCGGGTTGAACTCAATCGTGGGCTCCAAAGGACCAATGAAAGCGTTTCTGCGCAGTTCCATAGAGAGGCGAGCTAGAGCGGTCGGGGAAAAAAGAAAATCACATGGAAGGACCAAAGCGGTCATAGAAGCTCGAGTACCAATTCACCCGAGGCACTTCCTGTTTCCGGCTTTTGCTCCCGGCTTCCAGTGGCTCGGAGGAGGCGGAGCGGGCTGGGGCTTAGAAACGGCGCGAGAGGAGGGTTGCAGGAATAGCAGCATGGCAACCGCCGCGGTGAGCAACAGCCTCGTTTTCGTTCCAGGGAGAGACTCGGCTAACCCTCTTCCCCCACGCCAGTACGCTCCGGTCCCTGGTCCTCATTTAGCTTCTGATGGGGGAACGAAGCCGTAGTAACCCCCGTGGGATGCACCAGTGCTCCTCCCATTTCGCTCCCTTCTAGAAAATGCTAGGCTTCCCCTGCCTGCTCTGCTTCAGGTGCACTGGATTACAGCTCCCATCATTCGCTGCCAGTCCACGTGACAAAAGTGGGATGCAGTACTTCGGCTCGCTGGGAAGGCAGCATTTTGTGGGCTGGGATACATTTCCATATCGTGTGAATTGCATTTATGTATAACTTTTAACTCCGAGGAGTTTACCTAGTTCTGTTACACCACTTCCCAGTTTGTCCTTTAAACTTTGTAAAAAAAAGGTTGGGATTTCTGAAACAACAAGATTTTTAGCGGTGCTGTGACTTGTACTGATCTGATTTCGTTTTGAGTTCACAAAACGTTAAATCAGGTTGTTGAGACTTAACAATAGTCTTTGCACAACATGTGTAGCTGGGCTAAGGTTATCCTAATGTACTTTAGCAATTTAACAATGGTTTAACGTATAGATTCCGAAGATACATTAATTCAGTTACTTGTTTAAGCATGTTGTATGCATATAACTATTGCTTTTTAGGGTGGACCTCAACTCCCAGAATTCCCTCATCTTCATACTGGCTGGGGAATTCTGAAAATCCACTCGTCTTAAAGTCCTCAAGCTTGAGAAATACTGTTCTGGACTATATACTGCACATTCTCATAGCTTTCCTCTTATCCCCTTGCCCGAGTCAATTATACCAGGGCTGCTAGGAGGGAGTTGAGACAGTGATTAACTTGTCTCCCAAGGATTCTGATTAGGATTTCTACTTCTCCGTTATCAGAATGGGAAAGTGCCCCCCAGCAACATCCAAAACAGTTGTTTGATGGATATCTGAGAATTCTTTTTGCCTCAGCAATTATGGATCCTATTAAACACCAGATACACGATCTGAAAATTTCATGGGAGAAATTGGAATGTTATATAGTATGTTCCCAGTTTGATGTAACAGTTAAGGCACAAGGCTAGAAATTGGAGGACTATAAGTTTTAGTTTTGTGCTTACGCACAAAATCATCTGGATGCTCT